AGAAAAGAAAAGAAAAGAAAAGAAAAGAAAAGAAAAGAAAAGAAAAGTTTAGATGGGAAAGCAGAGTCCACAAACTAGGGTTGTCATGACACTAACATTTTCAACTTGACACTGATACTCAGGAAAATATTCAATACTTAATGCCATTTTCGATACCACGAGGATAAAAACAAAGACCCCAAAATGTAACAGAATTTTGACAGGTTTGTGTTTTTGGTTTCTGATGTTATTGTGGCCGGTGGCCCACATTAATGACCCTAACCCTCCACCCTTCATAATTGTAAGAAATAAATATTTTTTGGGTTAAACTTGTTAGGACTTATTGTACAAACCTATTTAACATCCACTATTTTAGACTATTTTGGATCTCCATCCTTGGTTTCCTGCAGACTTGATTCATATTGGCGTGTTATTATTAGCCATTAGCCACAGCTAGCAATTCAAGGCTAACGTCATGTTAATGATCATAAACAACGTAAATAAATAAATCAGAGAGAAGGGGGGGAGGTATCGTATCCAGATACAATATTTTTGTATCGATACTTTTTGCATTTGCTTCAAAACTGTGCACTAAACTCAGTGTTCAGCACGCAGACGTCTAATTCCCACATTGAAAAGTGTCCTGATTCTACAAAAACTGAGTCAAAATGCAAAGACTGGGTGGGAAAAATTCTGAAAATCAGAAGCTGGCAGAACCTCCCTGAGCAGCAGGAAGCTGAAATAATGTTTCTGGATGAGGTTATCAGATCATCTTCACACAGTGGCCTCAGCCCATTGAATAACACAAAAACAGCCTCAATCAGCATTTCAGACGTTCTCTGGACTAACCGGATAAATTAAACTGAATCATTTTATAATGTAAAGCTAGAAAAGCACTCATGTTTAATGTATGAACATTAAATAGCACAGCCATTTAGCTCTGTTTAAAAATGTATAACAATCCAATAAGTTACTAATAACCCTTTAACATCCAGCTCCGTTTGACTCAAATCAACTCGGTTTTATCAAAGATTAGTGGACTCAAACCGTTTAGGTGCCTAAAACGTGTTGGGACTTTTCTTTTTTTTAAATTCTGACCAAGTCATGTCGTCTTAGCCGTGTTGCATTTAATAAAATGCATTTAAAAGCATTTAATCTGTCTATTCAAACATTTTCCTTTCATTTATTTCAAGAAATGAGATGAAATTAGAGATTTGTGTGTTCGAACGGCTCCTCTTTTCGGGCTCAGCAGCACTTGGACGTTTCCCTTTTCCCACAGAGGTCCCAACACATTTCCTAGTGACCACACTGACCCAGAATAAACTCACAGATGGGAAACCTTATGGCGGAAAACAGGCTGTCCTCTTGAACTCTCGCTCCTTTAATTACAGACTAATTAAAGGAGCAGACCTGTTGGTTCCACTTTTACGGCATTAAACCCTGAATGTTGTGTGAGTTTGGGTGCTTTTTCTGGGGCTGGGATATGTCAGAATTGGGCTATAATTACTCAGTTTAGTATATTATGTTATAACTTAATCCATGTAAATGACTGACTGTGTTATTCCTTTTTAGATTGATATTATCCCCTGTAGAATGATAATTTTGTGTTAAACTCTCTGGCTCCTCCTCCTCTCTCTGTTACAGTAGATACTCGTCTTTAAGGTAAATATTCACACTTTCTTATCACATTCCACCTAAACCTGCATGAATTAGGACCTGGCCTGTTCCTGTCAGAGCTAACTGGCCAACAACACGTCCTCCTTTTCGAGGCCCAGAGGAAAACTGGGAACTTTGTCTGTGAGAGTCCAGCTCTTATTTACTCAGCTTGTGACCAATATATTCCATATTCGTACTCTTGATCCACTCTGGTTTATTCTCAGGTTTCCAACTAAAGAATCAAACTAACAGATAGAACGGGCAAAGGTCACTGAGGCTCTGTTAGATCTGTCTGTTACATTTAACCCTATAATGCCAAATGTATCATAATTGATTCATACGGTTTCTGAAGTCTTTTGGATCTGAGACTTTTTGCATCATTCAGTGGTAAAAGCTTTGCTCAAACCCCTGTTGTACACATTCAGATATACCTGATAACAGCCAGTAGAAGACTACACAGAAGTATATTTTTGACTTATTGCACGCTAATTTGATCAAAATAATTTCTAAAAAATAAAAACCCCTAATTTATACAAAGAAAAAAAAAAGATAAACCCCTAAATTAAGCAAAAATAAGCAAAGAATATGAATATAAACAGAAAGAAAAAAAAACAAACCCTAAATTAAGCAAAAAAAAGCAGTAGAAGACTACACCAAAATATATTTTTGACTTATTGCACGCTAATTTGATCAAAATAATTTCAGTTTTTTTTCTTCATATGTTGTTGAGGGGCCAAAGAAAGACTTCAGACTAAAAAAAATCCTATATTCTTCCTATTTTTATTTTTGACCTATTGCACGCTAATTTGATCAAAATAATTTCTGTTTTTTTTTCTTCATATGTTGTTGAGGGGCCAAAGAA